CAATTTGGATGAAATTTGGCACAGCTCACTTATTTGGCCCAAGGACGAAACCTATTGAAATTGGGAAAAATCGGTTCAGATTTAGATATATATTTTCGTCCGATTTAAGGTAAATGGTGTACCAAAGTCCCTATATATCTTTCGATTTGCACGAAATTTGGTATAGCCTACTGAATTAGGTCTGAAATGATGTGTGCTAAGTTTCGTGAAAATCGGTTCAGATTTAGATATAGCTCCCATATATAGTTTCGGCCGATTTTAGGTAAATGGTGCACCAAAGTCCATGAAAATCATTTGATTTGAACGAATTTTGGCATAGCGTATTGAATTAAGTCTAGAATGACGTGTGCTAAGTTTCGTGAAAATCGGTTCAGATTTTGATATAGCTCCCATATGTTCTTTCGCCCGATTTAAGGTAAATGGTGTACCAAAGTCCCAATATATCTTTCGATTTGCACGAAATTTGGTATAGCCTACTGAATGATGTGTGCTAAGTTTCGTGAAAATCGATTCAGATTTAAATATAGCTCCCACATATAGCTTCGCCGATTTTAGGTAATTGGTGCACCAAAGTCCCTGAAGATCATTTGATGTGCACGAATTTTGGCATAGCGTATTGAATTAAGTCTAGAATGATGTGTAGATTTTTTCGCCCGGTTTTAGTAAATTGTGCACTAAAGATACATAGCTAGGCCGATTGACACAACGTACTTAAGTTAATATAAATTAATCTATGGCAGGTTTGCTTGAAATCGGTTCAGATATAGATTTAACGTAGCTTCCATATATAATTTCGACTTATTTATGTTAATTGTATACCAAATAATCAATGGGTGTCTGATTGAGATTACATTTTAAACAGTGCAGCGACGTCTTTTCGGATACATATATAGAATATACCCAAAGTGGTGACGGGTATCATATAGTCGGCCCTGTCCGACTTTACTACTTTCCTTACTGGTTTTCATTTGCAGATTGCTAAACCCATTAAAATCCATTTTATATCGTACACAAAAATGTTTTAAGGTTATTATAGCTTTGTGTGGCCTAGACCCACCCGTCATATCTCGACTAATTGATTCGATCTGTCCAAGTGTCCATTGTAAACCGTTTGTCCATTATAATTTGTAAAGACGTTACATGCCACAGTTATGGACCAATCACCACGAAATTTTGCATGTATGACGGCCAAATAAGACCCACATTGTTTTTGATAATGATCGGTTAATACTTCGGGGATAAAATTGACCACTAACTATATTTTTGTCTGTTTTTCTTGACGCTTTAAAAGCCTCAATTATAATACGAACATCATGAAATGTTCGACGAAATCATGGACAGACAATGGAATAAGCATGGCCTTTTTTAAGAATATCGGTCAATATTTAGCGGGTCAAATGGACCCAGACTTTTGTGTGGAAAATGGAAAAATGTTTATTTTGAGGCGTATATATTTAGTCATGAAGGACATTTGATAGTATATGCAAGAGGTGTGGTTGACCTATAAATTGATAACAATTTGTGTTCTATCTTCTTCAATGTGAGAGTTTAACTTAAACTAGCACATTCCCGCAACTTCGTTAGCGAATGTAGGAAATATTTGAAAATGTATTAACATATTATTTTATTTTCAGAAAAAACTGCATATGTAAAAAAACTATCCAGACATTAATATCGACCATAAATTAAATTTGAGTACCATTTACTTCCAAATTTCATGATGCGAGCTCTTAAGGTTTACCCAAATCCAAATTTTCCATTTAGCACACATTATTTCCATAAGTACCCTTCTCAACCATCTAACTGAACTACCTGCATACCCCGATCCTACACCCCACAATGATTCCAAATTCAAATTTCAGAATTCCAACTCTATTAATTCGAATTTAGTAGTAGAATTTCCAAAACTTCCTACTTAACCCAAACCTACACCCCGACAATGATTCTAAATCCAAGTTTCAGGATTCCAACTCCATAGGTTCACCCACAATTCAAAAATTACCAAATTTAGTACACAGTAGTATGAAATGGCAAAACCTCTTACTTACCAAATTTTGTACACAGCAGTGCCAATTCCAAAACTTCCTATATACCCCAATAATACACCCCCACACTGCTACTAAATTCAAGTTTTAGGATTCCAACTCTATCGGTACACACACAATTCAAATTGTACCAAATTTAGTACACAGTTGTACTTATTTCCAAAACTTCCTACTCCAAACCTACACTTCCACAGTGATCCAAAATCAAAATTTCAGGATTCCAACTCTATCGGTTCACCCACAATTCGAATTGTACGAAATTTAGTACACGGTAGTACGAGTTTCTAAAACTTCCTACATATTCCAATTGTAAACCTCCACAGTGATCCTAAATCAAACATTCAGGATTCCAACTCTATCGGTTCAACCACAATTCGAATTGTACCAAATTTAGTACACAGTAGTACCAATTTCCAAATCTTCCTACATACCCCAATCCTACACCTCCACAGTATTCATAAATCAAAATTTCAGGATTCCAACTCTTTCGGTTCACCCAAAAATCAAATCGTGCTAAATTTAGTACATAGCAGTACCAATTTCCAACCCCTCCTACATACCCCAATCCTACACTCCACAGTGACCTTTAATCCATGTTTCAGGATTCCAACGCTATCGGTTCACCCATAATTCAAATTGTACCAAATTTAGTAAACAGTAGTACGAATTTCTGAAACCTACTTCTTACCACAAAGCTACACCCCCACAATGATCCCAAATCCAAGTTTCAGGATTCCATCTCTATCGGTTCACCCACAATTGGAATTGTACCAAATTTAGTACACATTTCTAAAACTTCCTACATATCTTAATCTTACACCTCAACAGTGATCTTGACTCCAAATTGGTTCACCTAAAATTCAAATTGTACCAAATTTAGTACCATTTAGTAACCATGAGTATTATTAAACTGACTCTTGACCACAATCCCACACCCCTACAGTGATCCTGACTCCAAATTTCATTGTTCCCGCTCTATAGGATAACCCAAATCTAAACTGTACCAATTACAGTACGATTTAGTACTTTTCGTACACATAAGTAACAAGTATCCAAAACTACGTTCATATCCAAATCCTACACTCCGACTGTAATTTTAATTTCAAATTCCAGGATTCCAGCTCGATTTGTATCTCGAAATTAAATTTGTACCAAATATAGTACCATATAGTAATTTTCGTACAAATGAGTATGTGCTTTCTAAACCATCTCCTTAAATTCAACCTTAATTCACACTCCAAATTTCAAGTTTTTAATGCTATCCGTTCACATGCTACAGAAATGTACCAGATTTAGTACATTTTCGTACTTTTCGGATAGGGTTAGTTCGAATTTCCAAAAACCCTTTGGTGCATCTATCCTACACTCCATCAACGACCACCAAACCAAATTTCAGAGTTCTAGCTCCACCGGTTCGCCAAATACAAATGGTATCACATTTAGTACTTTTCAATACTTTTCGTACCGTTCTAGTACGAATTTCCAAAAACCCAGTCTTATCTGTCACATTTGGACCAAGAGTGACCCTCATCCAAAATTTCAAGATTCTAGCTTCAGCCGTTTTGTCTAGGCGTTGATGAATCGTTACATCAGTCAGTCAATCACTTTACTCTTTTATTAGTATAGATGTTTAGAGGTGTCTACGTATCCTTTACCACATTATGCATAAATTTCGAGCTGATGGCTAGGAAAATTTGCCTAAGGTTCCGGTTATGATTAAGGACAACGCCTATAATTTTCAAAGATGATCAGATGATATTTCGGGGGTGAAACTTTATTTTTGTCTGATTTCCAAGTCGCTCCAGCGTCCACATTATAAGCCGAGCAACACAAATTTCCCATTAGAAAGGCGATCGATCCAAATAATTTGGATGACTGTCATGATAATGAACCGTCAATATTTAGCGGGTCAAATGAACCAAAAGTTAAAACAAGTAAAAAAGTGTCAGTCGGTGTTGCCGACAGATACATATCCTCAGCCTTTGGTTTGTGGAGGTCTTCGGGAATACGCACAGATTTTATTATTGGCCTTATATTATTATATTATAATATAAGATATAAATTTTTATCAAAGAGGTTTCGGATTTAAATTTGTAAGTTAATAAAATATTGACCCTTTGTGAGGGAGGTACCGGAAGGAGTGGACTACTGGGTCCCATCTTCGGACTTGATCTAGGCTTGGTAAAGCTAAAAGGCTATGCAAAGTTTGTATCCAATCGGACATTCTATTTGCGTCATATTGCATTTATAAATATTGAAAGTTTTTACCATTTGTGGGGAGGTACCAAAAGGAGTGAAACAACGGGTCCCATCTTCGGACTTGATATAGGCTTGGTAAAGATAATAGGTTATGCATGGTTTGGTTCAAGTCTGACATTCCATTCGCCTGATATTGCATTTATACAAATTTTAAATTTTTAACTTTTGTGGCGGAGGTACCAGAAGGTGTGGATCAATGGATCCCATCCTTGGACTCTATCTGGGATTGGTAAATATAATAGTTTGTGCAAAGTTTGGTTCAAATCTGACATTCCATTCGCTGATATTGGAACTATAAATATTGAAATTTTTACCAGAAGGAGCGGACCAATGGATCCCATCTTTTGACTTGATCTAGTCTTAGTAAATATAATGGGTTGTACAACGTTTGGTCCGTTCGCCTGATATTGGATTTACAAATATTGAAAATTTTGACCAATTTTGGGAGTGGTACCAGAAGGAGTGTACCAATGGGTCCCATCTTCAGATAAACTTGGTAAAGATAATAGGTGCCCAGAAGAAACGGCTGAAACTAGAATATTCAAATTAGGACTGAGAGCTGCTCTTAGTTCGTGGGTGTCAGATAGGGGTATTTTTTGGGAATTTGAGCTAGAACTGCATGAAGATTGAATTACATTTGTATGTTCACGGATCTTTTATTTTTAATCCACATTAAATCTTACATATTTATTTTCCTCAATATTGCACAAAATAAACTTTACGACCATTTGTTGATTGCAATCGACGATAATTATTCACCAACAGGTTACCATGTGCATCGCGGACATAACGGAATTGTTCCAATTGCTTGGGATTAACATCAAGGGGTTTGTTATAAATAATCCATGTAACAACTTCCGAACATGGCGGAGTGGTCAGCGATCCAACATAACTATAAAATGAACCTTTGTCCACCGACGTCAAACCACCAAATAAATCCGCCAATTTAAAATTTTTGATTCTAAACAAAGATTTAGATAGCGGTGGTACTGTACTGCTTATATTTTGTAACCCCCTAAAGTCCGCTGAAGAATTTGTTCGGTAGAATGCGGTTACAACAGCAATACCATCTGGAAATTGTGTAGCTTCAGGTAAATCCTTATATTTGGTATTATAGTGCACAGCATGTATCTCAGCCGAGTAGTGCTTATTGTTGATCAAATGTTCGGAACCTTGACCATCATCAGAACCCCAATGAAAATGAACATTATCGAATTGAAATATTCCATCGGGAGGTAAGGGGCCACCACTAATTGTGGGTTTATCTGTTGAATCCTGTAGACGAATATCGATGCCATGACCATTATTGTTTATGCTAGCGTAATACTGTACATCATATTGGGAATATTTCATGGGTGGTGTAATTTTTAGCAAGGCCTGTGGGGCAGATATTTTTTAAATAATTTATTAAAATTGATTTTTTTAATTTCAAAATATTACCTCATTTGTATTAAAAGCAATAGGCGATTGCCGCTGCACAGAACCGCATATGGGAAATTTATCTGTCCATTTGTCCTGTTCCATGTAACTCCAAGCTGAAAGGATAATTGAAATTCAATCGATTTTCATGCGAATATTTATCCGAATTATTAAAATTCTACAAACCCACAACACTGCCAATATAGACTAGTAGAAACCAAACCTTGATCATTATTTTGTTTTTCTTCAATTTAAACTTTACCGGTTGTAATCTTAATTGTATCTGAGACTAGTCACGCTTCATTACCAGATGGTTACCTTACTTGTATATCTTGCAAATGTAAATAGAAATTTGAAATGTAAAGGGTTGCAATTGATTACTAAGACTGAACAGTTACCCTATAGTAATGAGTTAAGAGAAAAAATATGCTAAAGGTTCGGTTTGAAAGACCATATGACCTGCAGATCTCTTAGAGGAAAAATATTAAAATATTACACTTGAAGAAAGCGGACTTGGAATTTAAATCAAAATAAGAGAGCCTTTTGACATTTCCATTGGATAGATTGACATACCACCATGTACTGTGTCGATGTCCGAGACTTAAAACATCAACATTTGTATCACAGTAAGAATTAAGGGGACCCCACCCATTCTCGATTTTAATTTTTCAAGATTTTCAATGGGCTGGTAAATCAATACCAATGCTTGTTAAGGTCTGTAACTTTGCACATATATATTTGAAGATTTAACAGAGAAGAAAAATCGTTTACAAAAAATGTTTGTTATTGTTTTGTTGTTGTTTTTTGTAATTAAAAAAAGTCCTTATTTTTGATGGCGGGCATGATAACTCCTCACTGGAACATCGGAATCCGAAAATTCCAACGGTGTTAGAAAGAGTACATGTCTGGCTCTTGTATGAACTAGGATTATTGACTTCGCTCTAAAATTAACAAAATGGCGGTTCTTTGAAAAAATATTTTTGGAAAATCGCCGATTTTTGACCAAAAACCATGTTAAAAAATAAGGAAGATCTTCAAGAAAAACGCGTTTAAAGTTTTAGAAGCCCTTCAGCCGTCACTTGATGCTGACTCAATTAATCGGCTATATCTTCAAGAGTTCTTGAGATTTTCACTTTTGACCCCGAGAATGGGGGGGGGGTCCCCTTAAATTGTAAAAATATTCGTTCGATCATTATTTACAAATTTGGACGTGAAGTGCATCGTTGAAAATAAGTCCGTTTGTGGCAATGATGTATACAGATGAAATTTGAGTAATGTATCAAAAACATGAGACATAAGGCCATACTAGGGCACTTCGATCGCCACCCTGCGTACATTAGTATTCGATGACTAGCGAAATGCACCAAAGGTTTTTGATGTTAAGAGGTTCCTTTTCCCTCGACATGTTTCAAATGCGGACTCTCACTCTAATCGGTATAAAGTGTTTTCTTATAAAGACCAGACAACTTAGAAGTCGTACATTTTGCATAGAACTTCAATTTAAAATTTTGATTGGTTAAAAATTAATAAATGAATGTTAAAACGATGACGACGTACAATAGATGGGTCCAACTCTAAATTTCATTGGCTTCAAAGGGAAATTGCATGTTTTCTAATTGTGAGCCCACCTGTAAGAGATACAAAGAAGAGTGAAACAATGACACTTGGTTTGAAAATAAATAAATAAATGATTCCGATGTTTAGTTGGGGAGGTACTAGACGGATTATGTCTTTGTACACATGTTTGTATATGTTCGTTTGTCGCTCCGTTCGTTTGTCTGTGCATTTATAATGTGGATTGTGTGCTAATTTGGCTCGAGCCAAATTGAAATTGATGAAGACTGATTCAGATTTAGATACATATATAATTTCGTCCGATTGGAAGTAAGTGATGCATCAAAGCCCCTATATTTCATATAGCCAATTTGGCGAAGGGTATCATATTGTCGGCCCCGTACGACTTTTGAACTTTATGATTTCTACATGCAAAGGCCCCGCATACAAAATATAGTACGATTTAGTACTTTTCATACACATACGTAAACCAGTGAGCGGAGCAGTATAGTAGGACGGGGTCGACCATATGATGCCCTACTCAACTACTAGGGAACACTAACTTCCTGCGGATGTTTATTTCGAGCCTGGGCAATATTTCGTGATATTTGCACCCTCTTGCTCGATTAGAGGCCCGATTTCGTGAATATTGATCCATAATTGTGACCTGTATCGTGTTTACAAATTATAATGGACAGACGGACAGACATGTCTAGATCGACTCAGCTTGTCGAGATATGATGATCGGTATACTTGAAGGTGGGTCTAGGACGAATATTTAGCGGTGTTACGAACAATTGGGGCTGCACAAAGCCATAATACCCTGAGAACATAGTTGTGAAGGGTATAATAAGTTCCAAAACTACGTGCATATGTTAATTTCTGGGTTCCAAGGGTTCCAGTTTTTATACTCGCACACTTATGGGTAATGATACTTTGATACGCCAAAAATGTACCTCATCGAAATATTGGTTTCAGACCCCATGTTTTATTGGACCAAATTCATTTAGGATAATCTGGAGTCGATTTACAAATGTCCGTCCGTCTGTCTGGCCGGCGGGTGCGCACAATAACTCTCATAACATTAACATTTCTACAAAACCTAGTTCAAGTTCAAAAAATGTGGGACCCGTCTGCCTTCTCCTCTGGTACCTCCCCCAAAAAGGGTCAATCTATATATATAACTATTATATAAAATTGTAAATTTTATTTGAAGCAAATTGAATAACCAATTTGGTTCACATTAAATGCGCAACCTCTTTGATAAAAACATATGATTTATATAAAACGAATAATAAAATCTCTGTGTAACTCCGAAAATCTCCGCAAACTATAGGCTGAGAGTATTTATCTGTCGGCAACACCGACTGAGACTTTTTTACTTGTTCGTATACATGAGTACACTCTTCCAAAAAAAACTTTCTTATATCGACACTACTTCTCAACCTTGATTCGCATTCCAAATTCGAAATTGTACCAAATTTAGTTCATTTTAATACCTCTGGCATACTTATAGTTCGAATTTCCTACAATTAAATAGGAACCTAATTCCAAATTTAAGATATGGAAATAAATGATATAGAAATAATTTGGTATATTGGATTGAATGCTCATGGGGTAGGAAATATACGTAATAAAAGCTTGGGCGAATATTGCCCAAGTTTCAATAACGGCGTTTCTGCTAATTTGGTATTCGAAGGAAATTGGGTATGGTACCACAGTATTCCCTTATTTTGGGGATTTTAAACGTCATTATATTATTTATCCCGCTGATCATTAATTATAACCAAGGTAATATGCCCTAAAATCATACCTCAAATAAAAGTAGGGCACTGCATTTTATTACAAAAATGTTTATGGCCAACAAATATTATTGTCATTATTTTTTTCTTTTTGCCACATTTGGCTGTTGTAAAACCTCATAATAAATTTCAAATATTAACCTAAATGTTTATAACTGATCTATGACAATAAAAATGTACACAAACCTTAGACTTGGCAACAGGGCAAAATAATACAAATGCGATATAGCCAAAAGTACATATATTAAAATGCAATGAATGCAGCATAATGTAAGTGAATTCTGTATTAATAATGAAAACCAATTAATAATTTTATTATTATTATTATTTTTTAATTTCTGAAAACATAAAAATTAAAAGGGGTTTTGTAATTATCATTGCAAGTCATAAGATAAGCATAAGCTTATCTGCCATTAATTGTTGTTGTTATACAAAATGTTGGGGCTATTAAAAAAAGAGAACAAATAACTATGATTATTAAATAATTGTGTACATAGCCAAGATTTTCCATTCAAAACAGTTCACGTATCGTTCTATTTAATTACCTATTATCATTGCCACCTGATAACGTAATGGGGTAAGCCACACATATATTCGGTATTTGACACACATTTCGATAAGGAAATTTATTTAGAGATAACCAGAAAATTTTTAAAAATAGCCACATAACAGATAACATGGATGACTAGCCGGTAGTAGTAGAAGATTTTTTTTGGCAAAGAAAAGTAACGAAAGTAAACCAGTAAGGATAGTAGTAAAGTCGGACTAGGCCGACAATGGACAAATTTATGGAAATCCATATATAGTAATTTTGATTTAGGAACACTGTGGAGGTGTAGGATGGGGGAATGTAGGAAGTTTTGGAAATTGGTACTACTGTGTACTAAATTTGGTACAATTTGAATTGTTGGTGAACCGATAGAGCTGGAATTCTGAAATTTTGATTTAGGGTCACTGTGGCGTTGTAGAATTAGGGTATGTAGGAAGTTTTGGAAATTGGTACATTTTGAATTGTGGGTGCACCGATAGAGCTGGAATTCTGAAATTTTGATTTAGGATCACTGTGGAGGTGTAGAATTAGGATATGTACTTATGATTGTTAATGTAAGTAATTATAGAAATTTATATTAATGTGCACTAACTGATACTCAATTTGGATTTGGGTGAAGCTATATTTGATTTGTATACCCTACACAACTATGTTGTCAGGGTATTATAGCTTTGTGCAGCCCCAAAAATTTGTAACGCCGCGAAATATTGGTCCTAGATCCACCTTTAAGCATACCGATCGTCATATCTCGACTAGCTGAGTCGATCTAGACATGTGTGTCCGCCCGTCCGCCCGTCCGTCCGTCTGTCCATTATAATTTGTAAACACGATACAGGCCACAGTTATGGACCAATCTTCACGAAATTTTGCATGTAGGATGGGTTCTGGCCAATGAAGACCCCTATTGTTTTTGGAAAGATCCGGTAAATATTTAGGGGATGAAATGGACCAAAAACTTTATTTTTGTCGGTTTTTCTGGTCGCTCCATTATGGCCCAAACATCGCGAATTTTTGCATTGTGAAGGGGATCGGACCAAAGAATAAGCATGTCTGTTTTGATAAAGATCGCTCAATATTTGGCGGGTCAAATGGACCCTAACTTTTGTGTGAAAAATGACAAAATTTATCTTTGTTGTATTAGTTTGGCTGTAGGCTTTTTAGAAATAAAAAAAACCATTTTCACAACAAAATTCTAAATCTCTTAATACAACTAAAACATAAATTGTCTCACAAAAACAAATTAAGACAAAAGAAATTGCAACAACAAATGACCAAACTTCTACATGAAGAAGACCTGCAACTTTTTATGGAGAGTGAAGCAAAACT